CATGTATTACAGAACTTTTTACCAAACTGAACTTATCTCTTAATCTCATTTTTCAAGAAATGTGGACAGTGGGTAGATTCTCTGTTTTATGTCAATACTAAAAGTCATTTCTGCTTTATCACTCGTTTTTATAGAATTTCTTCATGTACTGCTTTATTTCACATGACATTCATGGGTTATCCAAAGGCTTTGGTTGAAGAGATTATCATCTTATAATAATGTGCTTTTTGCCATTACTATTTCTAGTGGAAAGGAACACAATTCCTCTATTCCTCTATTCCTTTCTCTTGCGAAAGGCAAGAGAAAGTTAGGACGCCCCCAGGCTTATTGCAGACTGCACTTTCACTTTCTGCCTGTTACCATTGCAAGATTCCACACAGTTTTCACCCACAGTCAGGTGACCTTTTACCTCCAATTTCTTTACTGCCAATTCATTTTCTCTTACAATACAACTTTGCCAACTACCCTTAGTATTAAGCCCAGAGTTAACCTTTTCTTAAGGTCCATTAAATGTTATCTTAAAAGATAAGCTTAGGAAACAGGAGTATTAAATAAAGAAATTCTGGGAACAAACCTATCCTACTGACAATAATTCAGAAAAAAATGTATTTTAATTGCAAACTGCATGTTACAAGTTTTCTATCATTGCATCATAAATCACCCTCAAACTTAGTGACATAGAACATGGATGTGTCATTACATTATTTTTCTTTTTGGAATGTGATTAATGTACTTATACGGTGCTAGAACTGACTGCTGTTCAAGAAGCAATGGCAATCTTTGAAAGGTTTCAGAGCTCCAAAATGGGAACCCACAGAAAAGGCTAAATGGAACAGCCAGCTTAGTCTTCTTTGCTCAAAATCACCACTGAGGGAAAGGACTTTCCTTCCTTTTTTTTTTTTTTCTGTTCATTTCTGAAGGTAAGACTAAGTGCCAGGATTACTGCATGAGCCTGCAAAAAAAAGCCAACCCAGGGGAAAACCAGGTTAAGATGTATGCTAAAGGGTTAGCCAAGACTTCAGGTTTATTATGGCTTTTGAATGTGAAGCCACATGGAGTTTCAGCCCAATGCCTTAGCCAGTGGCAGGGTAGGCCTTTTCCTGCAGTGACCTCTGTGTTTACATGATTTATGTCTCCTGAGGTAAAAACAGGCAGCTGGCGGCCAGCTTGGGGCTCGAGAGTGCTAATCGCCGCTTGTCAGGACTCAAGCCTGGGCATTGCTGGGCTCCAGCAGACACTCATGTTCTCTGGGCACCACCCTGTGTGCTGCACCAGTGTTTGTCCACCTGCCTAGTTCTCCTACTAGAGTGGAAGCTTTGGCAGGCAGCAAACACGTGCTGCTCACCATTGCGTCCCCAGTGCCTGGCAGTTATTTTTCATTCAGCAAGCGGTAACAAGCGAATGACCCCTCTCCTCTATTTTATTGCACCATCTGTTTTCAACACCCCACTTTCACATGTCCGAGCGCCTCCCTGTCCCCCATTGCATCATCTAAACTCAAAGGGCTTCATAACATTTCCTAACTAAACTTATTTATTTTTAAGTTTAAAGGCTGATTGTTGAATTGCCCTATTTTCTCTCAACCAGCAATAGGCTGAGAGAAATTTAAACACTATCATTGCTCAAATTACCTCAAATTTTCACATACCAATAGGGTTTTCTCTGCCTATTTTTATTTTCTCTTCATAAACTCCTGTTGCTCTTAGAGCGCATGTCACAGTCCATTACTTAGATACAGTCTGTCTAATACAGGACAGAAGGATTCCCATTGTATAGTTCCCCCACTGAAGTTTCCAACAAAGGAAATCATACTACAACATTAAAAAACTTCATGAATTAATTGACCAATTATAAATTTAATTGTCAAATGATACTCCAATTTTTAAGAAAGGATCTCTATGACAAGAAAGAAAGGAATAGAATAGAAACAATGATAAAAGAGCTTCCAAGAGTACCTGTACTGGTCTTTTAGAAGAAGAATGAATGCATGTTGTGACAGATATTTCCAAACACGGCTACAATGACCTCTCCATGAGCTGAGTTGTTGGTCATACAATGTTGTTGCTTCCCCCATAAAGAGGTGGCATCTTCTCCCCATCCCCAGGAATCTAAGCTGTGCTGACACCTGCTTGGTCTACAAAGGGAGGTAGACATGACAAGGAGAGAATCCAAGAGCCTACACCTAAATGACTCTGCACTTTTGTTTCTAGGCCATTGAGGCCGCGGAGCTTGGTCTCCGTGTTAGAGAGTCCAGGGGAAAAGTCCTGTAGGTTGCAAGCCTGAGGAGAGAGTCCCCTGGTGTTGTAGTGTTCCAGCAGAGGACTCAGGCACATGAGGGAGACCATCTTAGAAACATCACCCCAGACTACACCATGTGTGTATTCAGCAGGGTTGACTTATTCCAAGTGAGCTGTGCCCAGCCAACCATAAAATCATGAGGAAACAAAATAAATGATCATTACTTTGTGTGACTGGGTTTTAGGCCAGTGTGTTACCCAACAAGATATAGCTATTATGTTGTGTTAATAAAACTTAATTTTAATAATAAGTAAGCCCATATGCCAGTTTTTCTTCTTGTTTAACAAGAAGCCTCTCTCCTTGCCCCACTTCATACTCCATCACTTTAATAGCTTTACTAGACTAGTTGATTATAAATATCAAAAAATGCAATGTAAAATCAATGCAAATCAATGCATAATCTGTGATATAATCAGTGATTATAATGTGAAATCGTGAGTCTTGCAAAACATGTAGAAAACCGTGAGTCTGATGAAGGTAACGTTAGAGAAGCTCTTGAATTGTGGGCTTCTCTGACAAATTAGAATCTGCAACTGGAACAGAGAGCATGTGAGCAAGAAACAATCCACTTGGATGGCACCACAAGAAGTGCTTCAGAAGGAAATAATTTGAATGTCAAAATTTAAGAGAGGCTCTTGGAAAACTGATGAAACTTTCAAATGTTTCTGAGATAATGATACTTTTTATAATTTGTCCATAGAAGTCAAATGTAAAAGGATATTATAGCATGATACCACATAATTTTGTTAGAAAATTATGCTTCTGAAAATCAACACTCAAAGGCCCAGCACAATAGAGTAGTGGCTAAAGTCCTCACCTTGCCTGCCCTGGGATTTCATGTGGCAGCTGGTTCTAATCCTGGCTACCCTGCTTCCCATCCAGCTCCCTGCTTGTGGCCTGGGAAAGCAGTCGAGGACGGCCCAAAATCTTGAGACCCTGCACCCACAAGGGAGACCTGAAAGAGGTTCCTGGCTGCTGGCTTCAGATTGGCACAGCTCCAGCCATTGTGGTACTTGGATAGTGAATCAATGGACAGAAGATTTTCCTCTCTGTCTCTCCTCCTCTCTGTATATCTGACTTTCCAATAAAAATTTCTTAAAAGATTAATACTTGATTCATCCCTTGCCCTAACATTTAACACATTGTTGACCAACTAAATATTATTGGATACAAGGCAATTAATTTAAATAACTTTCATTTTATTTCTCTTTGGTTCCTATTTTTAAATCATTCAATTGGTGCCGGTTTGGCAGGCACCAATTATGTGTAAGAATTGGAGATCTGTGTAAATGTTTTCCACTCATTCCTAACTAGCAGGTGTACCCGTTAAAAGAGGGGTCTCAAGTTTGCTGGAATCCTTAGAACTCTACAGGCAATGAGGCTAGGGATTCCATCGCTGTGACACCCCAAGTCCTGCTGACATTGAGGGTCCAACAGGAGCTGGCTTTCTTCTTTCTCAAAACTATTCATAGAAATCCTGTAACAAACTTACTCCTAAAAGCACTTTCAAAGGCTGGATACACTTAAAACCAAGTCAAGCATGTAAAGTCCTTTTAGGAAATAAGCTTCGCGTCCCAGGGGCTCAGCGGAGGAAGGCCTGGTTTGAGAGCAGGTGTGCCAGATCACCGAGCAGGAATGTGGAAATGTCAGACATTAGAGCCGCTTCAGAAACACAGACTCGGCCTGCCCCGCAGTCACACTTGTGAGCATGTAGCAATCAGCAGCCTTGCAGAGATGAGCAACAGAGAAAATGTCTCAGCACAAATTTGAAATCAGTTATAAACACTTCCAGATCGTAGGTTTGTAGAAACGTCATTATATTTTGTTGTTTTTCTTTCAATCTCACTTATCAAAAAAAAGAAATTCTTGGGGCCAACGTGTTGGCTCAACTGGCTAATCCTCAACCTCCAAGTGCAGGCATCCTATATGGGTGCTAGTTTATGTCCAGGCTGCTCTACTTCCCATCCAGCTCCCTGCTTCTGGCCTGGGAAAGTGGCAGAGGATGGCCCAAAGCCTTGGGAATGTGCACCCACAGGGGAGACCCAGAAGCAGCTCCTGGCTTCAAATTCTCTCAGTTTTAGCTGCTGCTGCAGCCACTTGGAGAGTGAGCCAGCACACAGATCTTTCTGTCTCTCCTTTCTATAAATCTGCTTTGCCAGTGCAAATGAATAAATCTTTTTTTAAAAAAAATCTCTAATATTTCTTTTTAAAATCAGTGATGTAAAAATGTGTCTCTACGGCCAGGTAAGAGACTGCAACAGCATCAACCCTGAAGCTCAGTCTTTTTGAACTGATTTCACATCTTCAATTGGGGGAATAGTAAGAACTGGGCTGTTTACCTTGTCATTAGCAGGAATGTTTCCATTCCTCTGCCAATGAGAAAGGAACAATGCAAACCGGGCTGCAAGTACCCTTTAGCCCCTACCCCTCCCTTAGGAGTCCCGGTGCTCTGCAAGGCATCAGTCAGTTCTAGGGCAAATGCAAACAATACTTTCCGTTACAATAATTTGTATCCAGGAAAAAAAACAGGCGCTCTGTTCCGTCTGTAGCATAGCAGCAGAGAAAAGTTTACCGGCTTTAGCCAATTGGAAGCTGTGGAGCCGCTCCAAGTTAGCATGTTTTTCTCCGCCTCTAGATGAAGTCATGATTAAAATATGGTATTGAACTTGTTTTAAAAAGGGAAGGGGTGTAAGCAAGATAAAGCTAAAGCTGCAGCGAAGAGCCCCGTGTCAAGACAAGGCAGTTAGGAAGTGTGGACATGCCTGAGCCCTGAGTGGATCTCACTGCTAACCTTCACCCCCCTCTGGGTGGAGCAGGGCTTTTAAGAGCAGCTGGAATGTAGTTTCCCTGATCAGCTTAGCCAGTTGTTGCCTGTCTGAACCTCTGCCAGCCCTGGAGAGCGGTGTTTTGAGCTCACACCAGCCAGCCTACTCCTGCACCCTCACTGCCGCCCGCACGGTTGCCTGAGCAAGAGACGCTCTCCCAGCGGGAAAGAAAAGTTTCCCCTTGTCCAGTCATGGGAGAGGACGCTGCTCAAGCCGAAAAGTTCCAGCACGCAGGCTCTGACATGCGACAGGAGAAGGCAGCAAGCCCCAGCCCCGTACCTTCCTCCACACCGAGCCCCAGCCTGAATTTAGGGAGCACCGAGGAGACCATCCGGGACAGCTCGCAGGTGAATGCGGTCACAGTGCTCACGCTTCTGGACAAGCTGGTAAACATGCTGGACACCGTGCAGGACAACCAGCACAAGATGGAGCAGCGCCAGATCAGCCTAGAGGGATCGGTGAAGGGCATCCAGAACGACCTCAGCAAACTCTCTAAGTACCAGGCCTCCACCAGCAACACCGTGAGCAAGCTGCTGGAGAAGTCCCGCAAGGTCAGCGCCCACACGCGCGCTGTCAAGGAACGCATGGATAGGCAGTGCGCACAGGTGAAGCGGCTAGAGAACAACCACGCCCAGCTCCTCAGGCGCAACCACTTCAAGGTGCTCATCTTCCAGGTCAGTGGCTTCTAGGCCTTTCTACAAGTGGGCTGCGGCTCTGGAACATCCATGAGTCCAGCGCTCCCCACTCTCACAACCCTTCATACATCTGTCCTGCCTGCCCGGGGATCACACACACCAGGCATTGTCCCTTGTCTGCCTGCAGAAAGCAATATGAAATGCATACACAGGGGCGGGAATTTCCCAGGTCACTGCAGCCTACACCCAGGCAGATGTCAGCAGAGGTCCTAGTCAGTGAGCACCTGGACGCACTCAAATGGCTTGGGAAGATAGGCAGGTGCATACACCCGCCCTAGTCAAATATATTTGTTCCTTTGCATTAGGAACTTGGAGCGCTCAGCTGCAGCTGTTAGCTGGGCAGAGGAAATTAATTCGGTGGCTGTTTATTAACTCTTTGTGGGAATGAGGTAATCACGTGAGTTTTGTTGGTTTTTGTTGTTGTTGTTGTTGTTGTTGTTGTTTCTTTAACCAAAACATATAGCGGGTTAAATTAGCCCTTATCAATGCTTTGAAGACTAACCAAATGGAGGATTGATTCTGTTAGGGATAGATTTGCTTTATTCTTTTAAGATTTTTTAAATGTTTTGATAAAGCAATCTTGTGGAATTCTTTTCTAGCAAATGATGCGCTGAAAATACAAAGCATACCTCCTTCTGAGCACACTAGATAAGCCTCTCCTTACTCAGAAAAACCACAACTGCCAAGAAAAGTAGAGGGGGTGTTATCACTTGTCCTCACAAAGGCTAGTCTTGAGTGCTCTCTCTGTCCATTTGTACCGTTAGGATGAAAAGATCACTTAACTTTTTAATGTATCAATGATGCAATTAATGTGGCAAGAGGCTATTTGGGGACAGGGAGATTGTGTGGGACTGTGATTCCGCCAAGTGGTGGGCATTTGTGAATCGAAGAGTAGCCCCTGCTAATGCTGGAACCCCTTCTGCCCAGTGGAACCTAGCCAGCACCAAGCCCAGGAAGTGCTTTCCTTCCCTGCCCCAGGCCTGTCTCCTTGTGGCCATGTGAATAAGAGAGGATTTGAAAGCCATGGAGGGGAGAGGCTATGACCAACAGCTTGATTGTAACGGGCACACAGGGAGAGCCTTCATTCCCCAAGAGAGATTTAGAAATCAGAATTGAAACCGAGGGAGCCTTCTTTTTCTGAATGCATCTGCTCTGCCAAGTTAGAACTGAAGCCTTCCAACCCACCCCATAAAAGGAAAGACTCATCTCCACGCTTTTTTGTCCTCATCAGACTGCACTTGAATGTGGCAGCGATGTCCTCCTGTACCTTGCAGGCCTTTGCAGCTGGCAAACTTCTCGGCTTTTCATGCAAATGCAGCAGCTTTTGATGCAGCAGATGAACTGAAAAGAGATACAATAACCAGGCCTTTCTTAAGCCATATGAGATCCTTACTTTATTAGCTGAAAAGATATTAGAAATCTCAGCTCTCCAGGCACTTCTAAATTAAATAATGATCTCCAAACAAAAGCAAACATACACAGACCCGTCTAAATCTGAAACGCCAAAGGAAATTTCCCTCCTCCCAGGATGAATCACAGAGATTATCTCTCATCTCATCCCACAGTTAAGGAAGGGGGAAAAAAATCCAGTAAAGGGAAATCACAATTTGTCAAGGTTGTTTTTTGTTTTGTTTGCCACGGATGTTCTGCAGATGTTGGGGAAGGGATGAGAGAGAGATGTGACTAGAAACCGAACAGAATTGTAAGTCTGACATTTTAAGGAAAAACAACTGTTGGAGAACCTGAAGGCCCGTGCTATTGCTGAGGGCTGACTTGGTCTCCTATTTTGTCACACTGAGTTGACAGGTGTGAAATTGCAGCCAGAATGGTAGGAAGGCACCATATAGTGAGTGCACATTGGAACAAGGGTGTTCAAGAGCAAAACAGGAGCTGAAACAATCCAAACAAGTGGAGTCAGACTCCTCAACCAGCAGCCCTGCCTGAAGTCCCCAGGGGCATTTTAAAAGACAGGGACTGGACCTTTCTTAAGCCACACAAGATCATTAATTTTAACTTGAAAGATATCAGAAATTTCAGCTTTTAAGACAGTGCAAGATGACTATTTCAAAAAAACAATGCAAGAGTAGCCCTCAGTAAAAAACTTGCTCTTTTTCTTGTCCCCTCTTAAAATGAGGGTTTCAATGGGGTAAAATGTGTCCATGGGTACAGCAGTGGTTTGGAGTAGAGCGTGACCCAATACAGTGGTTGAGAAAATACATTCTGGAGTCAGAGACACAGGATCAAAGGTCAGCTTTATGATTTACCAAAGATGTGCTCTTAAACATATCCTGCAGCCACTCCAAGTCTTCCTCATCTGTGCACTGAGACTATTAATAAGAGCAAATAAGTTATGAGCACCCAATAAACCCTGAATTCACTTCCAGGTTTCTTCTCATATACCAACCCTTTACAGACAAGGATGTTGAGATTCCAAGATATTTCTATCATATCTGAAGTTTAGTAACTAAGTGGTGAAACTGGAATTCAAACATGATGGCTTCAGGGAGTGAACCAGGACTTAGAAGATACCTCCTTGTGTGTGTGCATGTGTGTGTGTCATTCTATAATTTCGCCTTTCAAATAAATAAATATCAAAATGAAAGAAAAAAAAATATGACTCTTGCACAAAAACTGACCACACCCTACCTTGAATCTCAAAACAGCTATTGGCTTTTTCAGTTGGAACTTACCAAAAACACTTCTACAACACACTATACATTGTGTGACCAACAACACTACATTTAAATCAGTGTTAGGTCAAATCTTCATGAAAACAAAGGACTGAGTCAGAAAGGTCAACTTGATGTAGCTTTCTAGTTGCAGCACAATTTGCACAGTGTATAGAACAGAACTATTTCCCAGATGAAAAGAATGTGGAGGACAGATAATGAACCAGATCAAACTTTACATCTGTTACTTAACTTGCCACTTTTAATCCTATGCCAGGCTTTAACTTATTAATTGGTTTTTTTGTTTAAGACCCCTCTCCCCCCAAAAATGGAAATAATGACAGAATCAGAAAAGAATCTGTCTTCTGACTTGAGTGTAGTTAGTAACGCTGAGAAGTTTAAATGTGTAGTTTTTGAGGTTTGGTTGTGTCCTCCGAATTCTACAGATGTGTTGTTGCTGCTTGGTTGATTGGCTTGCTGCACACTTACTCATTTCCATTTTTTAATTCCATCCTTTGTCCTTAACTTGTCCAACTTAAAACATGCTGTCTGCTTACTTGATCCTGTGCTGAACTTTACAAAATTGTTTCAGCTATTAAGCATCTGATCCCACGACAGTCATTTCAAATTATAAGCAGTAGTGTCTGAATGTGAAGACGTTCATCTCGCCTTGAAAAATAAAATAAGTTTCAAGACCTTAGTTAAATTGAGATTTTCCTTTTAAAATGCTTTGCTCGCAATTTAAAATTAGTCATTGAACTCAGAATACTGTGACATGACTTAGCGTAAGTGGAAGAGGACTCGCAGGCATATCTGAGCAGGAAGTAGATGCTTAGGACACTGAGATGAAGGTTTGGCCTGCATGCATGGCTCCCTGTTACTAAAACTAGAATCCATACAGAAGTTTGTGAGTATACCCTTCAGAGCAAATCCCCTCTATTGATGTAAGAGAGCAGAATCCCACCGCTGACTGTCCTGTCCATGTACTGCTTCTTATGACCCTAGTGGTGATCTTATACAGGCAGGTTTTTCTTTTTTTTAAGATTTCATCTATTTTTTTTTTAAGATTTACTTATTTTTATTGAAAAGTCAGATATACAGTGAATAGGAGAGACAGAGAGAAAAATTTTCCATGCACTGATTCACTCCCCCAAGCAATCACCACAAACGAAGCTGAGCCCATTCGAAGCCAGGAGTCGGGAGACTCTTTCAGGTCTCCCATGCAGGTGCAGGATCCCAAGACCTTTGGCCGTTCTCAACTGCTTTCCCAATCCACAAGCAGGGAGCTGGTTGGGAAGTGGGGAAACCAAGAGTGGAACAGGTACCCAAATGGGATCCCGGTGCATACAAGGCGAGGACTTTAGCTGCTAGGCTACTGTACTGGACCCTACAAATAGTTTTTGGGTGAAATGATTACAAATCCAGGGAACAAAATGAGAGTGCTCATTGACATCTTACTGTTTCAGCAATATAAAATTATGAAACTGGGTGAAAAAAGAAGGAAGTTTAGGTAGTTGCAGCAGATACATTTCTGGAGAATTGAGCCTATCAATGTGCTCAATATATGCATCATTTAGATTGCTTCAGTGAGATCAGAATTTTAGAAAAGTGCTGAAAGTATAACATCTTCAGACTATTTTAAAATCGGTTTGTTTAAAAACTGTACTTTGTCCATAGCAACCCCTGTAAAAACTGTTAAATTGGAACAGACTTGAAAGCAATGGAGATGTCAATAAGGAAGGGCAGCTTTATATGGCAACTCACCATGTTTCTACCAGATTGATCAGCGGTTCCCCAACAGAATATTGGTTTTGATGTGTCACTCATCCAATACCCTTTCAGTTTAACAGACAAAGAAAATGCTGGTTGGTAATATTGTTTACATTCATTGCATGTCAGTACTGCCCAGGCACTTTAAATGAATATCTGATTATTATTATTTCTTTTTAAAATATTACAATATTTTATATACTAAAAAAATGTATACTCTGTCACATGTAAACCTTTCAAGTAAATTTGTTCCTGTTATTGTTTTCTTACATATGTCTGTTTGAATTGAATGAATGGGACATAGTCTATGCAATTCGGGTCCCGTACGCTGCCCTTTTGTTGTTGAAGAGAGAAGGTCTCCCACATAGATATCAGGGACCAAACTACTAGAAGCATCACTACTGCATCATAACACCCACATTAGCAGGAAACTAGAATCCCAAACTGGAGCTGAGAACCGAACCCGGGCACTCTAATGTCAGATGTAGGCAATTTAATTGCTCAAACCACACCCAGAGAGCAAGCACAAGGCTTTGATTC